GGAGACAGTAAATGAGTCACAGGGGCCGTGTGCTGAGGCAGCTGCATAAAAACTGCAGGCTGAAATGTCACCACACATATATTTTTACTTTATGTGTGTTTTTTTTTCTTTCCCCACTAGGTATAAGATTTTTTTTTCCCCCTCCAAGCATAACTCACATCTGGTAATATGGTTTAACACGGATCTTGGGGTGGGGCGGGGGATGGGAAATAAGAAAGAAGGTCAATAATGAACGATAGCCGTGAGCCAAGGAGGTGTCGGATCAGCGGGAGACAGTTTGAGAAATTCCACCTACTTCTTTTTCACTAAGCAAATGACGAGTCCGAGGGCAAACAGCAGCAAGGCGCCACCTCCCACCACTGCGATGAGGACGATGGTCAGGTCTGTGAGCAGAGACACGGGGAGAGAGGAGCAGGTGCGTGGGGTTAGGTCTGTGATGAACTTGAGGAGACAGTCCCCAAAGCCGGCCACCACCCACTCGTCCCTCCCTCCCCCGTCCCCTCACGCTGCTCGTCACGTTCACAGGAGCCTATCTCCCTTCCTCTTGAATCTGGGCTGTGTGGGTTCAGGGGCTAACCCTGGAGAGGCCTGGCAGCTTTCTGCACTTCCTGTCTGAGGGCGAGCCAGCTGCGTGTAAGAAGTGTGAGTGTGACTGCGCTGAGACCGCCATGCTGGGAGAAGCCCAAGCTCGCCATGTGGAGACCCCATGAGATCAGACTAAGCAACCCACCGAGAGTGAGCGCCCAGCCTCCAGACATCTGTCTCTGTGTGAACCATGCCAGCCCTCTAGTCGTTCAATGCACCTGCCTGAGACCCTGGGCAGCTTAGAGCAGAGATGTCACACTCTGCTGTGCCCTGACCCATGGGAGTGTGCGCCAGAAAAATATTTACCGTCCAAGCCCCCAAGTAACTAACACAGACCAGGGGGCCTACCAGATCTCCTTTAAAGGCTACTCCTGGCCTAGACCGGGTGAGTACCCCCACTTGCCACAGCCCGTGGGGGAGGAGGGAAAAGCAGAGGGTGCAGGAGAAAGTAGGGAGCCAAAAGTCGGAAGTGAAGCAGTTAAGGGGAGGGTCGCTTCGTTTCGTGCCGTTCTTTTCCTACGTCTGTACAAAGGCAAGAGGAAATAAATCAGGGATGGAACCCTTCGCCAAAACAGAGATTTAGAATTTCTTGCTTGTTCACCAAGAACACAAAAGGTGAGATTAAGAGAAACACAGGAATTGAAATAAATGGCAGAAAATGAATGCAAGAGAGGGAGCGAACCCAGGAGCTAACTTGAGAGCGTGGGAGAGCTTTTCACGGGCGGCTTTCGGAAGATCGGGGGTAAAGAGACTTAACCCTACGTCAGAGCCGACCAGCTTCGTGGCCTTGGGCGGACACTCGATCTCTGACCTCTAGAAAGAGGAGGGGCTGGGAGAAACGACCTCCACGGGCCCCTCGGGTTGCAACACCCTGATGCTCCGTGATTATCTTGGAATCGGGGCAAACACGGCCCACCGGACTGCCCTGTCACACAGGCACTCCCTTGCCTGAAACTCTTCAGCATAGCCTGCAACTCCGAGCACAGACGCAAACTCCTGTCTTGGCTCCGAGGCCTGCCGCTAAGGGCATTTCATGGACGCTAATGTGTCACTGGACTAAAAAAGAAAATGCCAGCACCATGTATCTGTGCGACACTTTCCAGGCGCCCCACATTTTAATCGCCAACACCGAATGCCCAATGATACTTTTGTGAGGTAGTTATTATCATCTACCCTCTACAGATGAGGAAGATCGGGGGTCAAGAGACTTACCCTACGTCAGAGATTAACAGTAAATGACGGTGGTAGATGGACGGCTGAAATGCCCTAATTCTCCCCCTGCCCTGAACCATGTCCTTCACTGTGGCTCTGCAGCTCCTCCCATCAAGAGGCGGAGTCTATTTGTCCACCTCTTGAATCTGGGCTGGCCAAAAGAATGCCGTGGAAGGGACAGTGTATGAGTTCCTAACCAAAGCCTCAAGGGACCTTGCATGTCTCCTCCAGCCTCTTCTGGATCTCTCTGCCTCTGCCACGAGAACAGGTCTAGGCTGGAGGACCACATGGAGGACAGCCAAGGAAGCCACTTATCCTAGCTGATCTCGGCTGGGCCCCAGCTATGTGAGAGTACCTGGCCAAGATCAGCCAAGTCCTCTAGCCAACCTGCAGCTGCCCACAGGTGCCTGCGTGAATGAACTCTGTCTGATAAGCCCAGCTCAGACCAGAATTGTCAAGACGATATATGAGCAATAATAATGGCTGTTTGTAAGCCACCGAGTCCTGGGGTGCTTTGTCATGCAGCATTATTGATGTATTAACTGACAGATACATGGACAACCAGGATTCAAATCTGTCTTCTGACTCGCCTCCCAGGCTTGCTCCTTACCCCTCAACCACCAATTTGCTGTCCGCCTCCCTCCCTGAAAGACTTTGAAGGCCCTTACCCACAGTCCTCGGGGTAAGTGACACCTGGAAGAGCAGGTCCAGCTGCTTGCCGCTCAGAGGGCTGCAGTTGGAGATGTTGACCCAGAAGCTGTGATGGCGGAAGCCTGGCTTGGGGAGCACCTCCTCCAGGCTGAAGATCTCCTCGGCCCTGGTCCTCTGCTCCTGGACGATCATGAAGGCGCGCCCCGTCTGGCAGACCAGGCCGGTCTGCTCCTTCGTGAAGGTCAGGCAGGCCACCTGGTCGTGGGGCACGCTGATGTTCCAGGACACCGAGCTGAGAGATGGCAGGCCCCGCTCCCAGTTAGGTGTCCTCAGGTAGACCTTGCTTTTCGTGTCTGGGGTCACCGTGAAAACACCTTCTTCTGCAGGAAAGAGAAGAGACGCCACACAGACGTTTCACTCAATCGGAACGGAGAGAACAAGTGTGGAGGAGACGGTGGTAAACTCTCTAGCCCAGCGGGGTCCGGCAGAGCTTTCCGAAATGTTCTTCATCTGCGCCGTTCAAGAGTAGCCATGGTCACATGTGTCTACTGAAGACTTGACGTGTGCTTGGTGTGACTGAACCGAACTGAATTTTAAGTTTTCTGTACTATTAACTTATGTTTAAATTGCCACATGTGACCAATGGCTATTGTACTGGTCAGCACAGGATCAGTCAGTCAAATCAGGTGTTCAGGTCTTTTCAAAACACATCAAAAACAAAACAAGCAAAAAAACAGCCCCTTTTGCCAAACCTGCGGTTATTTCAGCTTCCTTCCAAAAATGGCCTCAACATAGCTAACATTCGTCTGCGCTCCACCGTGGGAGAGGTAATCCTGATTTCTGTTTCACAGATTAAAAAAACTTCAGGTCCTGGGAAGAATGCTAGAATCGCAAAGCTGAAAGAGCCTCGACATGTCGACTAATCTATCCCTTATCTTCAGGTGAGATAAACCCCCACATTCCACACTGATGAGAATGTGTCTTAATTTCAAAGACTCTCCAGCAGGCATTTCTCTGATAACCTTGGAAATATCCAGCAGCTTGGACTGACTGACCTTAATCTTGTGGCCCAAGATTCTCCTCCTTCCCACTCATGCCTCTGAGAACAAAGGTACCAAGTAAAATAAACCTCAAATGCACGTCTTGGTCAACTTTCCAATGGCCTCTAACGGTGAGGAACTTGAGATGGTGACTGTGACTTTTAAAATCAGTCACGTATGTAGCGTTCTAGAGTTCACTCTCGTGACCAATGGAGACCTCAGTTCCTGTTTCGGGACACTGAAGGTCACACGCCAGCCTCCCAGGGGAAAAGGACCCGGATGCTGTCGATGCCTCTCTCTCCCAGCATCCCACTCGGTGCTCTGCGCACCGCATTCTGAACGGTCAGGGCAGAATCACAAAAATGTCTGCAGGAGGGTTTTTATGTTACCGCCTTAAAAAATGCAGGGCCCGGGAACAGTTGGTTAGTTCTAACCGATATCCTGCTTGCTTCCAAAAGACTCAAACCCGATTCTTTGTTCTGCTGCCATCGACCGTCGCCTCTCACCGTCAGAGAGTCTTCTTTCTAACTCCTGGAATTTTCCATGCTAGGTATATGGTAAAGTCAGAATTTGGACTCACTTTCTTTCAAATTTCTTGTGTGAAGACCAGCCCACTCAACTCGCTCTCCTCTTCAAATCGACAACTTAATTAAGACGATCGCAAAACCGAAATAAGATGAATGCCCAAACGAGAAAGGCCAAGGGGACACGCAGGCAGGGGAGAGTAAAAGATGCTCTTACCTTTGAAGTAGGGTGTGAAGGACACGGTCAGGCCCTGCCTGGAGACTTCTTGTTGGAAGCTGGGGGCAAAGGTACGCAGGGTTACCGACATGTTCTGCTTCACTTGGATCTTCTCGATGGAGCCTCCTGAGCAGAAGGAGCCAAAATAAAGGTCCTGGCCGGGACCGGTGCTGGCCACGAGGTAGCTGAAGCTGGTGTTGCAGATCCGCTCTTGCGTGTGCTGCTGCAGCTTCTGGGCTGGCACCAGTGCCAGGCTGAGCCTGTCCTTGGGCACCAGCAGCTTCCAAGAGAAGTCGTGCAGCTGCACAGGCAGCTGGAGAATGTCCCTTGGCACTTGGAGGAGGTAGGACTTCCTGTGGCAGTACCGGTGGTCCATGCAGCCTGGAAAAGAGGGGCTCGTGGTACCCAGGGAGGGAGGAGACTGGAAGAGCATCCTCCCAGCTATCAAGTCAGCCCGAGGCTTTCTTGCTTTTCCCTTCGGTCTTCCCTCGCCCATTATCCCTTAGTCCTGGCTCCTTGATCCCCCTTTTCTAGCTTTCCCTCCTGCTGTTCTCTCATATTCTTACTAAACTGGCAGACCAACTCCCGGGGAGTCTTTCGGGTTGAAACTTTCTCGTTTATCAAGTTCTCTCCTCTGTGTGTCTGTGTCTTAGATGCTAAGTGCCATGTGGGCAGGGCACAGGTTTTCCCTCCACCAGGACCTGCTGCCTAGCATCTGCATCTGGGGGGAGGCGGTTCTGTGCAGTGCAGAGTAGGGAGTGGAGTTGGGGAGATCTCAGCTCGCGTCCCAGCTCTGCCACTTCCCAATGGGGTGGTCTTGGGCTGGCTGCTTGGCCCCTCGTGGCCTCAGTTCCTGCATCTGCAGACTCTAAGAGAATCTGTGCCAAAGATCCTGGTGGCCCGGCAGGAGAGTGACAATTGGTTTTGCTGCTCTCCATTCATCATGCATTTATTATATGACTAGCACATGTCCAGTATTGCTAGGGGCTAAAGGGATAAATAAAATAAGATAAGAGTTTTTGAATTCAAAACTTGGAGTCTCATGCGAGAGAAGACAAGTGAGTGTGGGGGCAGTGAGTGTGGGAGCAGGGGGTGTGCAGATGGGAGGGGACGGGGAAGGCTAAGCAGAGGAGGAGCGAATTTCACAAGAGGGAGACTGGAGGCCGGACAGAGGAGACATTAGCACAGATGCAGGGGATGCACAAAGCGCTCCCGAAGGATGCACATTCCAGCTGAGGCTGCTGGTCCCAGAGGGGGGCCATGCCCTCACCTCGCGGTTCGCTTCTTGGTTGCCCCTGCTCTCCCTGCACTGTGAGGGACATTTCTGCTCATGCTATGTACAACCTACCCAGCGGACCCCACCAAGAAGACAGGGCAGGGACGAGGGAGCTGCCCATGGCCCAGGAGGAGCACATCGACCAGCGGGCGTACTTATGGTTTT